TGCCAGTCATCAGAAAGGGAACTGGGATTCTGCCCAAGTAGACTGCTTCAACTTGCCATTCTTTGGATGATTTGCCCTGGATCACTGTACTTTGGATTCATCTACACTAGGAAAAGCACGTCGTGTATATGTCATGCTACATAAACCATCTTGATTTATTTCTTAGATATGGTTTACTTGAGCTAAAATATCAGACCAAAAGTATACAGATCCTGTTGGTTCAAAGATACCATTAGACTACTTGAGAGCCACACTGAAAAAAATGGGTGATACCAACATCCATTTTATCAATGGGTTTGGTGTTTTAAGGGGACCTTCAACATGTTCAAAACTTAAAAGCGCCCATTATACTCTTTCACTTGATGTCAGGTCCAAAACCAAGAATGGCAAATGGTGATTATTTCAAGCTAAGTTCTTTATTGTTTTATACCTACAGACAAAATCTTGCCAGACTCAGCATTGTAGTCTCTGCATCTACAATATAGTATGCAAACTACTAGGGAGGAGCTGCCTTCACCCTCTTTCTCTCACATGATATCTGGGCTGAGTTGCCTCTTACTGCTCTGGGTTCATCCCTTCCCTCCTGGGGTCCCCACTTCCTTACTCCATTCCATCATACCTGCTAGCTTCTAGTTTTGGCCCTACCTAATATGAGAGTTGGGGGAATCTTCCAAAAATGATGCTAGTGGCCCTCTTGTGCCCCCTCAAGACACGCCTGTTGCACCTGTTCCTTAGAGCATTCGGTAAAATTGTGACATGTATGCTTTTAAAAAAAGAAGCCAAATATTACTGAAGCTTTTTACTACTTCTGCTTTAACAAGGGGCTTGAAACACAAAAGGAATTAAACAAAGTGAGAGTTACAGTTAGAATATAAACTAGGTTTGGCTTACTTTGCATGATGCAGAAAACAATAAGCACAATTTATCAGCCATAGCAGCAACACTGAAAAAGAAAAAAGAAACCTGTAATTGCATAGAGCAGTGGTGGTGAACCTATGGCACGGGTGCCAGAGGCGGCACTCAGAGCCCTCTCTGTGGGCATGCGCGCCATCGCCCCAGTCCCAGGCCTTCAGCTGGGTTTTATAAAACCTTTTCGCTTTAGGCCTCTGCCGCCATGTACAAAAAAAAAAAGGTTCAGTCAATTTCAACTTCTTGCGGGAAAAAAAAGATCTTGCAAAGTTGGAATCGATTGATTGAACTTTTTAGTCCCACCCAGTCTGCCGTTAACACTGCAGCCACACCCACCCAATGGGCTACACCCACCCGGCACCCGATGATGCATAAATGGGTTTTGGGTTGCAGTTTGGGCACTCGGTCTCTAAAAGGTTCGCCATCACTGGCATAGAGCTAGCTGATGTGTCTCGACTCTCTGCTGAAGTGCAAGGGAAAATCAGCCGCCCACTCACTCAGTTCATTATTCTTGAACTTTTCTTTTGACACCTCTTGTTCCCCTCTGTCCTGTTTTATTCTTTCTACTGTGTTGGAATAACAATGTGTATGGATGGTTTCCCACTTGCCCTTGCTTTTCTCAGTGCAATAGATTCTCGAGCTTTACTGATTGCATCCTTAATTCATATGCTGAATTCCACCATGGGTTATTTGCAAAACGGAAGCAATGCACGGACAGAGACAGGAACATATACATGTACACTAATAGCAAACGGAGGAAATTACAAGGTGTTCTCCAATTTTGAGGGAGATGCTATTTCTGTTATTGGCCTTCAGATAAACTGCCTCAGCACAAGCCAGGCTACTACAATTTTCAGAGATCTTTTGACTGGGATGTATTGAACTATTTATATTTGCGCCGTCCCTATGTTCTTTCATTAATCACAATAACAAGTCTTCTATTTCTCTACAGAACACGCTAACTCTAATTATCTCTCTGCAGCACAGATGTTTCCTCATTTAGATGTTTGCTGTGTGGCTATTTGTCACTTTGATTTCACATAGATTTCAGTTTGCATTATATTACTCTAATATGTTTGCTGCATCTGAGCCTCCAGGGGTTAGTACGTCCTCTCTGGGTACCAAAAAGATGAATGTGGCCTAGATAGGTGCCTGTACAAAACTGTGCAGGGAGTGTTCTGAAGCGATCTAATGCTTTGGGCTGCAATTCTGCACACATTATACTTATTTCCCTGGCAAGGCCAACCTGAATAAAACATTGTCATCAAATTATTACTTACAACAATATCTGGTAAATGATAGATATTCGGCATATTCTTTCTATAATGAAAACAAAGGAGACCATCAAGAATCTGATTGTGTAATGACAGTGGAAAATATTGAACTGGGCAATTGAATTTTCCAGCGATGGCTTTACTCTTTAAAAGTAAATAATCCCAAATCACTTTTGTCTTTCTGCAAAATTCAGATTGATAAAGTTCTATAAACCCATTGCTTCTAAGGCTTCATTTGCAGTCCAAGCCTAGGCAAATTCATGGAGAATAATGTGACATGGATTCAGGGGTGCTAACTCTCATGAAAGAATGTCTCAAACTGAAGTCTAAGCACAATTACAAGGGAATGAGAACCAATGAATGAAATTTAAGTTTTGGAACTGCAGATGCTAAGCAAATTTATGATCAGTACTCCAGTACATATTAGGATCTTTTTGTATTAATTTTAAAACTAAATTTTAATCTATTTTATATTGCATGTTTGTATAATTCTGATAAATGTTTATTTTAAAAATCCCTATAGTTTTCATGTGGGCTTGCTATCAAGTAAATGTCCATGAGATTCCAAACTAACTGAAATCCTTTTGTCTTTGTGTCCACCATCTATTTCACTGAAGAACAAGAAATGGGATTTGAACCCTCTCTCCAGAGGGAAAGACTGGCAACTCCCTGCTTGGAATCACATAGTAGGCTAGGTTGATTCCCTGTGTATCTAACTACCCATTTTTCCTTGGTAGCCTTGCTATTCTCACATGTTTATGTTTATGTTAGAATAGAGATCCCGTTCCCACACAAAAGTAGCTGTTAGTTAAGGCATCTCCCCAAGAGTTCCCATGTCACCTGAGCACAGACCTTCAGCACAATTCTAGAGAATTTAGAATTTCTCTACAAAAACAGCCAGTTTTTGCTTTCCAACTCCTTCCTGCAGGAGCACGGGATACATATGAGATGGCATGGCTTCCAACATCTATCCTAGATATTTTCTTCTCTAAATTAAAAAAAGTATATAAAAAAGGTGAGCCAACATGTTAAAAAGTAATTGGGATACCAGTCAAATCAGGTTCCTGGGAGGAGTGCCAGACTCAACTAACTTTGCATCCTGCAACTGGGGGGGGGGCATACAAAAGGAGGGGGGACAAAAAAATTCTCAGAGAGGTGTTTTCCTAACCTCTTTCAGCATGATGCTTGAACTTCGACTCTCTCCTGGCTTAAGCAGGCAGTCTCTGGTTTTGGAGCATCAGTTCCTCACAAGCTATAAAGCTGCAGGGTTATGGATAAAGAGACACTGAGGTTTATACTTAAACTAATTTAATCTAAAGGCAAAGCAGCTTTGCCTACTTGAGCAAAGCATGCAATCAAGTAAATATACTACAAACTGAACTCAGTTTCTCAGATATACTGTGCCTGGACTTTGTCTTTTGAAAGACAGAAGTGGAAAAACAGTCCACCTTGTTCATTAGACACCAGGCAGTCCACTGAATTATCCATTACTTACTTAAATGTCAGGATAATTTTAATAAAGGAGAGTGTTAATAAAAGATACTTTTAATCTTTTAATTTCAAAAGGTTAAAAGTACCTTTTAGTACTTTAAACACCAATTATTTTTACCCAGGTATAGAGTTTCTCATAATTTTGATTACAATTACCACTGCACCTTGCTTATTTATTTTTGCCTATATATTCATTCATACATACATACATACAGTGGCTAAAACGTCATGGATATGTATTCCAGGTCCTCCTCTGGAAAATTGCTTAAAAGTTTACGAAAGACTTTCTTGGGAGATAAAGTCAAATCCCAGTGTTTCTGATCAACTTCAAAAATTGTTCCAGGATGGAAGGTTATTTAATCAGAACTCCTGGAAAGTAAGAGAATTCATTTTTTGTCACTCACACCATGATGCAAAGAAGTTGGTCTCCTATTTGGAAGTTGGTATTCCCCGTGCAGACATCCTCATAACCCCCATTACATAACCTTGCTCAGAATATGGTCTGTGCACACGGAAGAACTTTTTTTTTTATCACCATGAAGAGGCAATATCCTCCCCCCCCCCCGTGCTATTAAGTTTTAAAACAGGATGTGCTATTTTGCCAACCGCAATTAAGCCAAATAAACTGCTAAATGCAGGCAACAGTGAATCCCAATAAAAACAGGAATAATTTACGCTCATTTAGATTACTTCCAGATGAAGCGTTTATGGGAAACTTGCCTTATTCCTCAAGGCGTATTGTGTGGACGTGGGGGGGGGGGGAAGGAACTCTGTGGCTGTCATGTTCCTTTTGTAGGCATTCTGGATTTCTTCTTATACAAGCGTTACGTTAAGGGGGGAAAATCGGAACAGCTGCAGTGTTTCGCCCAGAAACGCTAAGAAGCGCCTGGCTGAAAACAGTTCTACATTTGTGTGAAAGCGCGGTGGGTTTGGGATTTTTTTTTTTTTTTTGAACTCATATTTCCGATGTAAAGAATGCGTTATCTCCCTCCTCCAAGGCTGCTGCAGGGAAGAGCTACAAAGAGCTTCTCCTCCAACTCCGAAGGCGGGCGGAAGGACGGAAGGAATCTTAACTCCAACGCCCCCCTTGCCTCCACCATTTCTTCCCTGGTTCTCCCTCGGCCGCTCCCGTTAACAACTGCGGGGAAGAGAGGGCGGGCAGGTTCCCAGTTAAGTCCTGTAGGCAATCAACCCTCCTCCACTTCTTTCTCTCTCCCCCCCCCCCGCTTTGGACGTTTGCCCTGTTCAGCCCCCTCCTTCCAACACAATAGCCGAGCGGCTTTAATCGCTCGGCTGTTTGGCTGAAGATCAATACCGGCATTTTTCTTCCTCAGGAGGCGACTAATCATCGCCACAAGCCGGCTCCTGCCTCTCTCTTTGGATCTCCGGAGTTGATCAGCACGTGAACCTCCCCTGCCTATTCTCCACAGAACCCGCAGCGAAAGGGACGAGAGAATAAAAGCGGCGGCTGCAAAGCCTCTCCCGAAGAAGAAGAAGAAGCGTCTACTTCCCACCCCTGCGCCGCATCAGACCCGAGGGGATCCCTCCCCCTCTCCCCCCCCCGCCCCACACGCACACACGAGCAGAGCCGCCCGGAGAAGCAGCTTGCCGCCCCGTAGTCTCCCTCCCGCCGGAGCTTCACTTCTCCGCCTGCTCCTGCTGCTCCGATTGCGCCCACCGGGACTCCGACGCGCTTCCAGGGACGCCCTTCGGGCAGGGCCGGCGGAGGGGGAGAGGAGGAGGCGGCAACGGCGCCTGGAAGAGCCCGTCACCCTCGCCGTTCCGTTCCCCTCAGAGTCCCACCGCTCCGGGAGTGGCGAAAGCGCCAGGGATGCTGAGCGGGAAGCGAGGAAGAAGGAAGCAGCGGGAAGCCTGAAAGAGGCGGCAGAAATCCGGAGGGGCTCCTGGAAGCGGCCGGGGCGCGCGTCCCTCTCTCCGCCTCGCTTCGGGCTCTGGCCAAGAGAGCCGAGAGTTCCGGGAGGGTCCCGCCTGCCCTGAAGCGCCTCGCCCGCGGGAGGTCACCGGCCCGCCGCCCGCTTCGCCCGGCAGGCTCGCAGAGCGGGGCCCCGATCTTCCTCACCGCCGCCCTCCTCCCTCTCCAAGGTGTTGGGACCACGGCGGCCGATCCCCTCCCCTCCCCGCCCGGTGCCCGTCCGCCTCCGCTGCGCCGAGCTTCCCACCGCCAGGAAACCGGGGCTCCCGCCTTGCGCCCTGCCGCCCGCTCCATGGCGAGGGCAGCACCGGCTGAGTCTCCGCGCCGGGGGAGGCGGCGCCGGCGGGGGAAGCCCGGGGCCCGCTCTCCCCCGCTGCCACTGCCGCTGCTGTGAGGGCTGTAGCGCTGGCGGCGCCCCGGCCGGCGAGGCAGGGGGGCGGCGCGGCGGCGCCAGCATGAAGTCGCTGATCTTGAGCCGCTTCCTGGTGCTGCTGCCCTGGGTGCTGCTGGTGATCCTCATGCTGGACACGGACGGCGGCAACCGGGCGCCCCGTCCGTCCTCGTCCCACCTCGCCCGGCGGCCGCAGCCCGCGCCTCACCAGGAGGCGCCTCGCCGGCGGGAGGCCGAGCAGCCGCCGCCGCAGCAGCAGCAGCAGCTGCCTCTCATCTATGCCATCACGCCGACCTACAGCCGGCCGGTCCAGAAAGCCGAGCTGACGCGGCTGGCCAACACCTTCCGGCAGGTGGCGCACTTGCATTGGATCCTAGTGGAGGACTCGGCGATCGGCACCGAACTGGTCAGCCGCTTCGCCGCGGGGCTCGACCGACGGGGCGGCCCCCCCTGCACCCACCTGCACGTGCTGACGCCGCGCAGGTACAAGCGCCCGGGCCAGCCCAGGGCCACGGAGCAGCGCAACGCGGGCTTGGCCTGGATCCGCCAGCGGCACCAGCATTTGCCGGCCCCGCAGCCGGGGGTGCTTTTCTTCGCCGACGACGACAACACCTACAGCCTGGAGCTCTTCGAGGAGGTAACGGAGGAGGGAGAGGCGAGCTTCGCTAAGGATCGGTCCCCGTCGAGCAAGGGAGACCCCCGACTTCAGCGGGGCTCGTTCCGTTAGAGATCCTCGGTGCTGCCTCCCAGCTTAGGAGCGTTTCGCTTTTCCGGAAGAAACTCCGCACCGGTCGGGCAAAAACTCTCTTTCGCCCTTCCCTTTGCGGGCCTTCAAGTTGCCTCTTGGACGAACCGTTCCGCCCCAGCGCTTCCGCGGCTTTGAATCCCTTGCAGGCGGCGTCGCGATCCCGCGAGGTTTTTCTCTCGTCCCGCCAGCCCGTTCTCCACCCGGGGCTGCTGGCGGGGCTGCCAGCTCAGACGGACTGGCCGGCTGGCTTTCCTTAAGCAGCCACTGTGACCCGCGCATTCCCTTGTGCTCCCTCCCCTCTGAATCAGATCGGAGGCGTAAAACTTAATTTCAACGCCAGTGTTGTGACCAGTAAAAACAAGGGGATAGATTTTTTTTTTATTTGCAAAGTATCTAGCAAAGGGATCCTTCCTTCCTTCCTTCCTTCCTTCCTTCCTTCCTTCCTTCTTTCCTTCCTTCCTTAGATTTTAACTTCCACTTAAATTTAGACTCCAGGCACTGCAGTTAGATTTAATTGCAATACCCTTTCCTCACTCCAAGCCAAAGCCTCAAACATTAGGGATACCCATTATACAGTATCAAGAAACAATTGGTCACCAAATTGCCTTTCATCTTTTTCCTTCAGCATCATCTTATTACAGTATTTCCATCTCCCAAGCCTTTAGCGGTATTATGCAGACATTTTCTGCAGTGTTGGCAGTGGCAGTTTGATGTTTGTTTTTTTTAAAGAACCAAGTTTGATGCCTTTTCTCTTGCTGAAGTAACTTCCCACAAAAACCCTTACATTAAGCAAACATTTTTTAAAAAAAATTAACATAGGACTTTGAGATTTGTAAAATATTTTTAACTATTACTCATTTCTCTTTCTATCCTTTCCCTTTACACATGTGACTGATTACTTTCTTTTCTGCAGAGACTTCCTGACAGTTTTGTAGGCTTGATGGTGTGTGTGTGTGTATGTGTGTGTGTGTGTAAAGGCTTTCCCCCTCTTCTTTGATGGCCATTGTTTCCCAAGAGCAAGTTTTGTTCATTCTTTTAAATAAAAGTTTGGGACATATTTGGGAAAGAACTGGAAGAAACAAGAAGTTAGATAGCCACCATCAATCCCCCCCCCCCACACACACATACACATACACATGTCCTTCTGGCAGGAAAAAACCTTTTAAAGGAGAGATATCAATGCATGCAGGAATAAGTAAGATTGATCAACTTCAGCCAGCAAAATGTGCAGTTTGTAAGAGTTGTCCTGTCATAAAATGTATATATTCTCTAATATATACATTTTAAAAAATCCCCTCCCCCAGTTACAGGTGAGTAGACTACAAATCCCATCTGCATAGGTGAGGATCCTCATGTGTCCGACAAAACTGGGTGGCATTTCTTTTCTGCTTTGGTGAGTCTAGATAGCGGCAAATTTCTTCTCTTCCCCCCAGCCCCCCACCCCATCTGCATGTAAACAGTTTCCTCCTTTTTTTTTTTTTTTGCAAATAAGTGCATTAAGAATTGATAGATTAAATCCAGGCACTGCGGAAAGACGCAGAGCACACTGAGTGCCTGAGTGCCCAAGAGCCTCTTCCGAAGGCTGTTCAACTCTCCCGATATGTGTTTAGGGTTCAAAATGAGTTCGGGTCTCTTTCAGCAGGCTGCTTTTGGCAGGTGCTGCTCCTCCCCTCAAGAGCTTGGCTTCCCTTCCTTGTGCAGCAGCTTCTGGCTCTGAAGCTTTCATTGAAAGTGGCTGAAAAGGAGAACATTCTAGCTGATTTGTTTTCTTTCCCATTAAGCTGTTGGAGGCTGCTTGGAACTCTTGAATGCAGCCAAAGTTCTGGCTGTTCATTTCTTAGTTACCCGCCTCTCTGGATGCCTTTTCTTTTTGAACTGGTGATTTACCGTGAATACATCTCCCACATTGGGTTGCATTAAAAAAAAACAAACAAAAAAAACTCCCCGGAGAGACAACCTCCACTTCCTCAAAGCCTAAATGAATATGCAGCTGAGGACTAGCAAAGAGACCATACAGATCCACTGAGAGCTTGGCTGAGTAAATATGCGAGGATAGAACCTGCCTTTTCCTCTATGGTTAACCATCTCGCCTCTTTTCTTCTTCTTCTTTCAATTCAACAAGGCTTTTATAAAAACAAGAGTTTAAGGGAGAGTCTCTTCAGCATGCTAAGTATTGGCTAAATGGCAAGGCTAACCCCTGTCCCCCACACACACAACAAAAAAGGTCACTTTTGCAAAGCTTTGAGAGACTACTTGCCTTCTATCTCATTCATCTTTTTAGTATATTGAGGAAAGGCTGGTGCATTGTAAAGGCAAGCCTTGGCATTGGCTGTCATCTAAGAATGCCTCTGGGCTCCATGGGGGCTGAGGCTTTCTTAGATCGTAAGACAAAAATGGTGGATGGCTGCAGCCCAGGGATTCAGTGAATGATTGCCTAGAAAAAAAAAAGGAGACTGGTGTTGATTAGGAATGTCCTGGAGTCTCCTGGCTAGAGTCCATCCCAAAGGGGCCAGAGGAGACGGAACAAAGCAAAGACAGCTTTTTAAAAAACTTGTCTCAGTGTATTTTGTCTCAATAAAGGAAAATATTTGTAGCTCAGAGTTGAAATGAGGGGTCTTTGATGCTCTCTGGTGTTGGTTTTATTTTCTTGTTTCATGACCCACACTAGGTTACATGATCAATGCTGGTGCTGTACTAGCCTTGATGATGTTACCTAGTTTGGTTAATGAAACATCTATATTTTGTCTTACAAGGTTGGTCAGGTTAGTTGACTGTTTGTTTGGGCATGGAACATTCTTGTGGAACATTCCTGAACAGAGGCACTTTTAATTTATTTGTTTCCCCCCCTGCAGGTTACTCTGGGAATTGTAGTTTAGAGAAAAGTTGAATTAGATGTAAGAGAACAGTATTCTCTGTATCAGGGGTAGGCAACCTTGGCTCTTTTATGACTCAATTCCCAGAATTCCTCTAGGTAACATCATCAAGGCTAGTACAGCAGTAGCATTGATCATGTAACCTAGTGTGGGTCATGAAACATCTGCAAGAAAAAAGCCAAGACCAGAAAGCATCAAGGGCCCCTCATTTCAACCCTGAGCTACAGAATTCTGGGAGTTGAAGTCCACGAGTCATAAAAGAGCCAAGGTTGCCTACCCCTGCTGTATATTGACCTGGCACCCTTTCAAAATAAATATATGACAACTCTTTGAGAATGTCACAAGCATCCTACATTCTTATTAGAAAGAAGGTGGAAATTGGTTTTTTTTTTTTTTCAACTGATCATCAGGATTTGTGTTGGCTACAGAAAGCCTGGGAAATAGTAAAAATTTCTGAGTCATTGCCTTTTCTGCCTCCAAGACCTGAATCTATTTACAAAGCAGTATTGCTTTTCTCTCAGGATATAAACCCCCCCCCCTAAATTCTGAATATATCCTGTTTGGCAGGGATCCAGCTGAACTGAAAAATAGGTGAATGAGAGGAAATTGATGTTCCATCCTTCCAAGAGCAATTTCGAATGTTGATACCCTCACCAGCCATTATCAAGGCTTACCAAAGAAAAGATGTTTAACATTCTCATGACCTATTTCTGCCTTTTCTTAGTGAATGGATTATGAGCTGTAGCTTTCAAGCTAAATGAGTAAAGTGAGATTCCTTCAAAACATTTATGCATTGCTGCTACTAAATTTAGCAGGAAACTAACTAGTTTTTTTTTCTCAACAATTTGCTTAGGAGAGGAGAGTATTAAACCTTCTCCCACAATTCTATGCCTTATGCTTTGTGTGTGTGTGTGTGTGTGTTAGAAAAAATGGGAATAGGGACTAAGCATCTCTTCTGGAGCAATATCTGGTTTGCATGTTTAAATTTTCATTTATCTATGAAAAACTATTGAAATGTGCAGAGTGGAATATTGTATTTTTCTTTTATTAAATATCCATTCTAAGGATTTAAGAGTTTATCTTTCTGAAGCAAACAAGATTTTTGTTCTAGGTTAGAATAGAATAGTGCTGGAAGGTACCTTGGAGATCTTCTAGTCCAGCCCCCCGCTCAAGCAGGATAACCTATACTAGTGGTGGCGAACCTATGGCATGCATGTCAGAGGTGGCACTCAGAGCCCTCTCTGTGGGCATGTGTGCTGTTGCCCCAGCCCCTCCTCCCCCCACAGCCCCCTCCTCACCAGCATCCCCCCTGGGGGAGAGTTCCCCCTGGGCACGGATGACGTGGAGCAGCACAGCCAAGCACATGGCAGCCAGGCAGCGGGAGCAAGACTCCACCCTCACGCCCTGTCGCACAAAGATGATGTGTGGAGTGTGGAGGACGTAGCCACCATGGCGCTGCTGGGCTGCCTGGGCGATCTGCAGTGGGCTGTGGAGGCAATGCGTGGCCCTGTGGGTGGGTAGGTGGGGCAGGGGCAGAGCAGTTTTTGGGCACTAGGTCTCTAAAAGGTTCGCCATCACTGACCTATACCATCTCAGACAAGTGACTATCCAGTCCCTTCTTAAAAACCTCCAGTGATGGAGCACCCATGCTTTTTGAGGGCAAGCTGTTCCACTGGTTAATTGTTCTTTTGGTTTACAGTGACAATAAGAATATTTGATAAACTGGAGAAAATCCAATAAACAAAGCTGTTTGGAAAATAAAGCACATTAAAATTACCGTATTACTGATCAGTTTTCTACAATGATAGGGTATAATTCGGGATCTCAAAAGAGTTTTATACTTTTTATAGTAGAATTATAGCTCCATCATTTTTAGCCTAGTGATCATTTTCAAATACTGAAATATATAATGTTGTACCTGTTTATACATCTATATTTATTCATTTAAGAATAGGATATGTTTTGATCGTAAATTGTGAAGAATTAGGTGATGGAGGACAATTCCATCTCTGGCTT